AGACAAGACCATTTCAAGAGTCTCTCAGTTCCTCCAAAGACGCCGCCCCCTTTCCTCTCTCCCCACATGACAAAGGCCAAGTGTGGACACTACTGACCCCTGAATGAGAGGAACTTGCACCAGTCGAACAGGCGGAAGCGAGGGTCCAGAGGCTGGTTCTGGGCCTGCGCCACACAAGGTCTGGGAAAGCAAGTCTCAGGCCCCCCCAGGGTTGGGCTTCGGGGACCAAACGCTGTGGCACGGTGACCTGAGGAGCTTTTAACAGAAGGCTCACTTCCTTTTCACTAGTTCTAACAAAAAGGTCTCTCATGTGTCCTGGGCACCTGAACTTGTAAAAAGCACTCAATAAATTCTGGAACTTGTCCCCAGTGCCTGCTACTAAGTTTGATAATCTCAAAGAACTATATAGGCTGCATATTTTGTATTTCTTTAACTTCCTACTGTCTGGGCAGGCCATAGAGACAGCAAATGGCAGAGTACAGACTGGTGTCATGGACCTCATTCCCAATCTGATACACAGGGAAACGAAAAGGCAAAACGCATCTTCAGCTAACAGGTGGCCAGAATGGTGGAGAATATTTACACAAGTACTGACCGTCCCTGGAAGCCAGCTTTGCTGGAACCCCTGCCCTGAAATAAACTACATCTGCCTCCTGCTTCAAAGTGGGGACTCAGAACTCACTAGCCTGCGGTGCTGCAGCCAGCTGGAAAGCTGACAGCCCGGGCCCAGCCCCTTCACCTGCATGGGCCCTGTGAGCTGCCAACTGTACTCCAGCTCCTGGGTATCTTTTGTGTGCTAATCTCTAATTTGACTGAGTGCTGAACCCCAGCAAGGTTCCTAAGATAAAAGTTGATTTTTCAGGTGGGTTCAGGATTCCCAAAAAAGCCACCTTGGGCACAGGGGTCCAGAGGGAGGGCTGGCCTCCAACCCCCAGGGGTAAGTTCCCTGGGGCAGCCCCCTCCCAAGACTGGCTGGCTCTGATGTCCCACAAGGTGGCAGCCTGCTTCTCTCTGTTACTGACAGCCGCAGAAAATCTCTATAAAGATCAACTGTTCAGAGCGCGGTGACGTTTGCCAGAATACATTTTCAGGGCCTGTAAATCAAATTGTGAGCCTAAGCCATTTGACAGCTCTTAAAAATAGTCTGAGCCCATATAAGGCGAAGAAAAGGAAGCAGAAGATAGTTTGATTGAAGTGTTGTACTTTTTTTAAAAATTTTTATTTTTATCCCTATTTTATTTTAGCTTGCTGAGAACTACCTTTCCAAATACAATCCATTTATCAGTGGTCTCTGAAACCTAAACTTAGCAAAAGCATGCGGGTAATGTTGTTTTTAAACTTTTCCACCACCACAGAGCCGCCGCCCCCTGCCCGCCACAGGGTCCCGGCAGAGTGCCCACGGGTGCCTACCTCCTGGATATGAGCCACGATGCCCGCCTGGGTCTCAATGTCCAGCTGTTTGATTCTTTCAATGAACTCCTCTTTCCTCTCACACTGTGAAGGGTTGCAAGCGTCAATGGGGGCATTCTTCAGCGAGGGTGCACCTGGGGCTATGCCCACAGCCTCAGGCACACAGCGGCAAGGCGACTGCCCACCCAGGCCCGGCCTCCTTCCTAACCAAGACCACCTTGTCCCCCAACCAGTGCTCAGGTTTCTCTCAAAGCTGCTCCAACACCCACAGGAGTCTATTTTTCAAAGCCCATCCCAAGGTTTCTCTCAGATGACGCAGGAGTGGGACACAGGAGTCTGCGCTTCAAGCACACTCCTCCTAAGGAAAGACTCCTGTACAGAATAGATGCAAACGCCTGGTCCCGCGGCCGAGGCAGGCGTGCTCTATCTGTAAACAGGCGCCACTTTAGAATCTGCAGTTTGGTCTCCCTCACAACTACTCAACTCTGCCGCTTGGCTAAAAAAGCTACCCAGGGACCAGAGATATAGCTGCGCAGCAAAGCACAAGGTCCTGCCTGAGTTTGATTCCTCAGACCCAACCCACCCCCCAAAACAGCAGGCAGTCCAATATGTAAATGATGGGGCGTGGCTGTGTTCCAATAAAGCTTCTTTTCTGTAACTAGGAGGCAGTCAGATCTGATCCACATCCTGTGGTTTGCATCTCCTGGCTCTAGAAAGGTGTTCCTACAAGGAGGACAATTTGCTAATGGTACCAAGCCCTGAGGGGCCTCTTGCACAAGTGAGTACTAGAAACAGCTCCGGCTCCCAAGAGGTGGTACCGGTCTCTCCTTCTTACCCAGCACTCTCTCGCTGGACTGAAAGTAGCTTCCTTCCCACCCAACCTATGAGCACCCAATTCCAAATGCAGATGGCTAAGCACAGGACCTCCTGCACCCTGCGCAAGCCCTACCTGGACAGCACAACCCAGCACCAGCAGCAGCACCTTCTTAATCTCCTCCATGCTCTTCCCTGGATCAAAACAATGACATATTTAATTAAGCTCAACCACTTATACAATTCCCCCAATGACATGTTTGTCCTAAGGTGAAAATGAATCAGATAAACTAAAGAAAACATTCTCTCTACCCAATTAGTCTGTCAGTGAGGTGTACACACTCCCCTTTTTGCTGTGTACAGAGTTATGGAGCATTCTGCACATAACCACTTAGGCCCTTCCCTACTCAGGGGCATCATAAATATTTCTCCATGATAATGAATGAAATGCAACATCAGCAACAATTTTTAATGTGTGCAGTATCGGAAAGAACAATCCCCCCAGGAAAGACTGTGTCAAGGGTCTACAGCATCATCTTTTATTAGGCAAGATTTCAAAGAGTCAAAGACAGATTAATGAAGCCCCGTGTACATTCAGCTTCACACTGCTGACATTTTGCTTGTTGAAGTGCATCTCTATCTCGCCATCTCCTTTCTGCTTACAACTTTCAGGGTTTGGCTGGAAGAGTCTACAGCAAATCACACACCATAGTTCCATCATTTTCGACAGCCACAAGCCCACAACCAGCTCTCCCCTAGAGGTTCACAGAACATCCTGATGGCTAATTCTTTACACATACTTGCTTCCTTGGAACAAACTTATCTTTTATGCTTTTCTTCCTTGCTGTCACCAATCTGATGGCCAGAAATCATTATTTCACCATTTGAAACAGTCTGTCTTTGATGATACTTGAGACCAATTGCCGACGGTCAGAAAACCTGGCCTGCCCACCTGGCTTGCTCACGCGGGAGTGGTGTGGCCTGGACAAAACAGCTTTCTCTGACCCTCAGTTCTCATATCTAACAAGACGGAGGTGGAGGGGTGGGCCTTTCTTTCAAGGTTAAAAAGGTGTTACTGTTTTCTGCCTTTTTCCTCATATCCTGTTGTATCTAGGGGAAAGGGAGCATGCCAAAGCTAGCGTCGTTCTCTGGAAAGACCCAGAAGTCCACTCAAGCTGTGCCAAACTGGCCACAAGAATCAATCGGAGGTTGCTAGGATTTCAAACCACACTTCAGGCCCAAGAGCTCGCACCACAGTTCACTCTGGGCCCCTGAGTAATTCCTGCCCGATCCCCTCCCCCAAGACACAGGCGAATACATCTTTTCCTTCTATAGTGACACCACAGAACTGCGGGGTACACAAAGCAGGGTTATACATGCTCCTGGCCTGAGGTGGGGAAGAGCAATTGGACGGTGCACCACAAGGCCACATCCTACACCTACTCTTTAGGACACACCAGAGGTCCCGTGTTCATGGAGTTCATGGAGATCCATGAACTACGGCTTAGCCCATGTCTTTACACGAGTGCAGAAACACATCAGTATTCAAAACGGGAAGATTCTCTGAACCTTACTCTTTTGTTTCACACACAGGCTTTTATTTGTCCGAAAGGCTGTGACCCACAGGCCATGTATCACCACAGTGACTCCTTCCCTATTAATACTGAGCCATTGATCAGCTGCTGCGCTTTAGCTTTGGTGATGAGTAAAGGGAAGGCCCACCCACGTACTAACAGAGCCTTGAGGGCTCCCTGGCCCAGCCCGTATTACCAGCCCCACCTCCTTCCCTCCAAGGGTCCACAGGCAACCTGTAAATGTCTCTCTGGCACCCCTGGGAGGACATACCGGGTTTAGCCCCTCCCCAGTCATCAGGGCTCATCATCCTACAGTGACACCCCCTTTCCACAGGCTGCTTACCTGGTGCCACAACCATTACCAGAGCTAGGACACAGGAAGAAAGTGCTTCAAGAGCCTCAAAGTGGCCTGTGCAGAAAATCCTTATGTACTCTAGTTATAGCAGGGTCCCCAGAAAAGTCTAATAAGTCATCCTTCAGAATAATCAACTCCAGCGATCCACCGGCCCAGCCCACAGCAGATTAAAACAGTGGCGAGAGGCTGGTTAACGGGGACACAGTCACAGCTGGATGGGGGATGAGATCTGGGGTTCTATGACGCAGGCCGGGTGTGAATAGTAGCTGCAAGGGGGTGCTGAATGTGCTCATCACCAAGAAACGGTAAATGTTTTGAAAGGACAGACGACGACAGCCCACCCGCGTGTCCAGGGTTGGTCAGTATGCACTGCGCGAATGCACTCCTACGCTGCGCCACAAAGGTAGGTGTGCGACTGCTATTAACCGAAAATAAGTAAGTAAAAACAAAAGCGGCAGCGCCTGCTGGAGAGCCCCACTGCTAGCAGTGAGAACAAAAGCCGGATTCAGACAGGAAGGAGGAGACCAGAAGCCTCACACACGCGCTTGACGGCGGGGGCCACTCTGAGGCAAGGTGCACGCTCTGCGCGGTGCACACCCTGTGCGTTCCCTGATCCCAACGCCCACCAGGCACCAAGAAAAAGCCAAATCTGACCCAGCACCCTGTCAGAAAAGTGGGGTTCCTTGTGCTATGCTGTCATACAGGGAGGGGAGGGGAAAAACCCTCATTAACGAAGAGGGTGTTTAAAATCCAAGGCCTTGCTCCTTTCACTTGGGCTAAAGGAAAGAAAAGCTTCCCTCTAACGGAGGCACCTGAGACCTCACCCCGCACGGATTCCTTCGGGGAGCAAGCGGTCTCACGAGAAGCCGAGGCTCGGTATCTTTCTAGATTTCAGTAGGAAGCAGTTATTTCATCGATGGGTTTTGAATGTTTCAAACATAATGAAAGGCTCTCCTGGGTCCCTGCCAGCAAGACCAGATCAGCAGCGCAGCCGAGGACACACAAACGCTACTCCGTGCCCAGCGCCTGCCATGCGCAGGCGCTGAAAGCATGACCCCACAAGGAGGACTTCAGGTTGGCCCTCAGGATCAAGCGAGACTTTCTGAAGGAAAGGACTGGGCTGAGACGCTGGGATGAGGAAAGCCGGCCTTTGAGACCCAGGAAAGCAGGAGGGAAGGCATAGACCTAAGACTGCCTGGGGTATCTCAAATCAGAAATGCTTTGTGGTTGGGCTTCCCGGATGCTTTCAGAGAATGGGGTGGGGGAAGAAAGGAAGTGGATTTCTGGGGCAGGTGAGTCACCAGCAACCCCTGGGGGCGGGGTCCAGGAGAGTCAGACACCCTCTACATTTGCGCAGGGCCACGGGTCACCCGAGGAGTGTAGGAGAACCCTGAAGGGATCCCAGGTAGCCTGGGTCAACCGCTGAGTCTGAGGAAAACCTAACTACCTGCCTCTCCCAGGCCAGACAGAGAAACCTGGCAGGCCCAGGCTTCTGGGCAGGATGAGAGGCTGCTGGACACTCAGCTTGTCTGGAAGTCTGAGGAACAGATGTTTGCATCCATCCGCTCCCAGCACAAAAGGAAAACTGCAAAATCACGTGCCACGAAAGGGTGGACCCAGGGCCAGAAATGGAGTTGGAAACTTAAGAAGTACACCATCCTCTAACATGTGGGAGCTGGATTAAAGCAGGACAGAGAATCCTGGTCTTTCTAATCCTAAATCCACAGCAGACACGATCAGCCAATGATACCACTTGTCACTCTGTATGCAGCTGTGTTCCTTCTGAACACAGGACTCAGGATGTCAGCACACACAGCAACACCGATGCCCCTCGGCCTGGACGCAATCACTGGCTTCCTTTTAGCTTTGCTCTTTGGTTCTATTTTTATTAGTACGTGTAGGTAGGGCATAAGGACGGCATGCACTGTGGGGAGGTGGTACGTACACAACGACAGGGTGCAGCCTAAGCGTAAATCGCTGAATTATTATGGTGGTCATCTCACATGGCCGAAGCCCCAAAACAACAGCTCATCTTCCCAGAGACTACCTCCTCTTTCACCCTGACCCTCAGTCCTGGATACAACTTCCTTTCCACCTTTCCTGCACTACAAGGAAGACCCCAATCAGCTCCTAAGGTGTCACTAAACCTGGCCCCCTCAAGCTCTGCGCCTAGCACAAGTGCTTAAAGTCTCCGGCTCCCTGTCTCAGGCCAGAGGATCTGCCCATCTCCCTGCCTTCGACCCTCTCCATGTCTTCAGTTAATAAAGGCTTCCTCTTCCTGTTTCTTTTACTTTCGCTTCTCTGCGGTGCCCCCAGGAAAAAAAAAAATAACACACAGCACATTTCAATTCTTTATACATCTCCTCCCATTGCAAAAGATCTATCTTCCTGTCTCCTATTGTCTACCTAAATGATTTATACACTGGGCTTTTTCTACAGAAGAATATTTCACATGGCCGAAGCCCTCGGCCTGGACGCAATCACTGGCTTCCTTTTAGCTTTGCTCTTTGGTTCTATTTTTACTAGTACGTGTAGGTAGGGCATAAGGACGGCATGCACTGTGGGGAGGTGGTACGTACACAACGACAGGGTGTAGCCTAAGCGTAAGAGAACCTCTGGTTCTCTTAAACAGCTGTTTGAATGTTCAGGACCTACTCCTCGGTTTCTGGACACAGAAAATATAATTCTGTCGATTCTAAATGGCAAATGAGGTAGGAAGTCTGAGATTTGGGAGAAAGCAGACTTCCCAAGGGGGAGAGCTCTTTCTGTCCCAAACTGCAACCCTCTGCCCACAGGAAGTGGGGAAGGAGGTACCATGTCTATCTGGCCCACAGGAATCAGAGAAGAGCTGATTCATCTGTCATGCTAACATCAGGACTGGGGTCTGAACCAGGGCCTCCAGGCTGGCCCAACTAAACAGAGGAGAGCTGCCCTCCGATGGCCTTGGGGATGGACCGCCGTCACTGCACCTCCAGTCAGCACACTGCGGCTCCAATTCACCCTGAAGTTATGCTGAAAGGGCAGCACCATTATCTTCATCTTACAAAGAACAGGGTTTAGAGAGCCAACCCACAGAACACAGATTCGGTCCTGGGTACCCGGACGACCTCTTTTCCCCCCCATACACACATAAACTGTGCGCATATTTCACCAGCGTTTGCTGACATTATCAGTTACCATCAAGTACCAGGATATTGTAATCGTTGATTCATTGTGTCAACTTGAGAAGTTCACAAACTTAACTAAGTGACCTGGTAGGGGGGCAG